TGTGCCACAGAAATGGCCATAACGCACCTCATCTGTCTCCAGATGCCACAGCACAAGCAGTAGCTGCTGACCCATACAGCGCTTGCCACTGATGGGCTGTAGTTTAAGAGTACACAGCGTAAAAGAAAGAAAACTGACCAGTTATTTTCAGCAAATTGCTGTACAACAAAAAAAATTCTCATGACTGAGTGCTGCTGGTTTTTTGCTCGAGTGTTTCAGTGATAGGCCCTGACCCCACGGACACTTACACAACATTGGATGTAAATAGAAGTGACTACAGGAGGCCTTAAGTGTCACTGGATTGCAGCAAACTATTACCAGTCATATTGCTTACCTGCATGTACCATATACCACTTTTAAGCATGCTTTTTAATTTGTTTTTAATGTTACTGAATATTAGCAGTGTGTTGGTACCAGATAAGATCCATTTCCTCTCTCAAAGGATTAATAATTCACTAGTTACTGTGCTTGTCTTCTTTTCTTGCACTTATAATTAAGTAATATAACAGAATTTTAAAAAAACTTACTCATTCACTATTATGCAGCTGCATTACAGAAGCTTGGTAGAGACTAGGTCATCTAGAACAGCTTCTAGGTGTTCTTTTCCTCTTTGATACCTATTTCCCACCACACACTGGTTATTTCTTGCGCTTAACTTTGTTTCTTGCATTTCCAGACAAAGCTTCCCTGTTCTGGCCAATATTAGGAGACGCTGCCTCTCCGGCGTGAACGGAAGATGGCACCAAATGGTGGGCGTGGGGCTGGGAGCGGCCTTGTGTGCAGTCCCAGTCGTGGAGGTAACGTATCAGGAGTGAGATACATACAGCACCCGCTCGTTAGAAACAGTTTCATATTCAAAACCACTTGCTTAGCATTTTACAAACGAGTACTTACCCTCAGAATTGTATTCCTTCATGGGGATCACAGGTGTTTAAGCCATGTAGTTGTTAAGGAAGAGAAATGAGAAAGACAATGTCTACCTTCAATAACACCTCGCAAAAACAGTTACCTTGTTTTACAATAGCAAAACAGCAGTGAGAATTAGGCTGTCCAACCTTGTAACCAACAGTGGTGCTTTTCCTTACCGTTATTTGTTACTAATAACATCCATATGAAAGTCAGTGTAAAGATCATGCAAATGTCTTGTCTTTCAGAAACAGAACTCAGTTTCTCTCAGTAACGATGCCTTGATTAAAAGAGCAGTTTCCTTGGTAACAGACAGTACCTCTACACTCCTCTCTCAGACAACATACGCATTGATTGAAGCACTGACAGAGTATACAAAGGTAAGCTGAGAGATCACACACTTTGCTAACAAGTCAGTACTGGAAATAATAAATTATTTGGCACTAACTACACCTGTCAAACCATACTTAAAACAGACTTTAGTTTTTTATGAATTTTAATAAAAGAGGTGTCAGGGTTTGAAGATGTCAGGTCCCTAGGAAACAGTGGGGTAGGGCTCACTCTTCTACTACACCAAACGCAGAAGTTACTTTTAGCTTTGTTAGACTGTTGCTTTGAGCTTGAACTTAAGCTGAAATGATCCATGTCTCAGGGGCTAAAGAAACTCGTAACAGTTATGGGATACCTGCGTACTAAGTAAGTAGGATATGCCACCCTGTATTCATAGGTATTTTATTTACCTTCTGTGCCTGTTTCTAAGGCCATGAATTTGAGTTTCCTCGGAAGAATGGAGTGAGCCATATTTAAGTCTGAAACAACAAGATACAGTTTTAATTTTATAAGTAAGTGCTGATTTGAGTAAAGAGTTTGCATTCCAGTTTACTTCCTTATTAGTATGGCAAGTATATAAAGAGATGCTACCCACAGCACTACTGTAGGCAGACAGCACATGCTGTCAGTGCCTCCAAAATTGCAGTGAACTTGAGAACAAAGCACCTTTGGAGCCATTCAGCAATTTTGCTAATTAACACCGGTTAACACTGAGACAACATCAGAGATGTACAGATTGTCACATAATTGTGTGAAATGATTCCTTTGCAGGCAGTTTATACGCTGGTGTCTCTCTACAAGCAATACGCAAATCTTCTTGGGAAAATGAACTCAGAAGAGGTGGATGCAGTCTGGCAGGTGGTAATAGGAGCCAGAGTTGATGTAAGCAATCATCTCCCTTCAGTCAGCAATCTGCCTCTTAAAACTCTGCTCAGAAAGTCCTTGTCTCGCTTGCTCACCTTTTCACAAAGGCACTGTTTGGAAGAGCATTCGGTACTGTTACGTCTAGTTAAGTAATACTTTGTTTTACTCCTAGATGACAACAAAACAGCAGGAAAAAAAAACAGCATTACGTCTTTCAGAAATGGCAGCAGAAGCTGCGTATCAATCAGGTAAGCACAAGCAGAAATACTGAGAATTTCTTTCCCCTAGCATTTGGGCAGTATTTATTGAATGAGAATGGAGTTGAGAGAGACCCTGAATATACATTCAGTTAACATACCAATTTACAACTACTGCCTGGTTTTTAGAGATGCTGAGAACTTACTTTGTTTTATTGGCTACAGGTCTAGTAGAATCGTTCTGAGAACTAGGCCTGGAAGCTTCACATACGGTTTAGATCATGACCAACCATGCCAAAAAATGTTTGAGGGAAGTGTTTAGTCATTTTTAAATGCAGTGTTCAAACACAGTTCTGGGAGCCACAGAACTAAGGCTACCTAGGGGGTCCGGCAGGTCTTTCTAGCTGGATTCACTTTTATTAAAGAGTGAGAACATTTGCCTTTCACTCAGGAAAGACACTAATTTTGGTCTTTTCTCCCTGTATACACACTTCCACAAAAAGTGTAGAGACTTGATAGCTCTGAGATTGAGTTATGGGATGACTTACGGTAAATCGGCAAAGTTATTGGAGTGGAGAAGGGGAGGAAAGCGATGAATATATAGGGACACCCTAACTCTGTAAGCGCCTGAAAAAGACACAGAGTATGTAGGAGCGGGAGGAGTATGGGAGGAGAAGGGATTCTAAGTTCAGCAGTGCCACAGACGTTCCCGCTGCTGGTAGGTGCCAGGACAGGACAAGGACTGAAAGTTCCTGGCACACGATGACTGGGCTGGGCTTAGTTCTCAAACCCACTGGCACAAGCTGATTGCTCTGATCAGACGCTGGCTGTGACCCACTCGGGTGGGAAGAATTCAAGGGGGCAAAAAAAAAAAAAGTCTCAAAGTAGACATATTGTTGTTTAAGGTAAATGAACAGTAAATGCATTAGCATTAATATAGCCCAAGAGCCACCGAAACACTGAGCAAAGCAGATGATAATTATAGACAGTCACTTTCTTAATTGAAGGTTTGCCAAGTGCTCCTCTAACCCAATGTATTTAAATTACTTTTCAGGTGCAGACCAAGCCTCAGTGACAGCCCGCAGCCACATTCAGCTAGTGAAATCACAGGTGCAAGAAGTGCGACAGCTGTCCCAGAAAGCAGAGACCAAGTTAGCTGAAGCTCAAACAGAAGAGCTCATAAAAGCTCAAGGAGAGGAATCTTCATTGCCACAGGGTATTTTAGGAAGTACAGAGGCGGGTGAGGACCCTTACCTTCGGGAGGACTGAAAAGAACTTCAATGTCACCGCAGTATACGTAAGAGTCAATCACAAATTGAAGGGTCCCAAACTTTTAAGTGTGGCATACTGGGAAACTGCTGAAATAAGCCTATGATTCCATTTTTTCCCCAAACAGGATTACTGTACAAAATCAAGTCAATTCCAAGTATCTGAAAGGCCTTGATCTTGTTTGTAACTTACCATGTTTGTAATACTTACGGATTCAATTATTTAAATGTTTAACTATGCAAATGTGAAAACTGCTATCAAGGATAGCTTGTTGTTAATTGTCTCTCTGCTGGGAGAGGCCTACCACTTGTTTGATACGTTTGTGAGAGCTCTCTTAACTTAGAGGCTAACTAGGTATCACCAAAGAAGTGTATTTAAAAGTCATTATTTTTAACCTGTGAAGTAAATGATGTCTTTATTAAACTGTGCAAAAGCATGCATTGTGAGTGTGCCCATTTGGGTAAGAGATTAAGCACTGTTTTCTATTTGAACTTAAAAGTTTGTAACCCAGCTGAGTGACAGCTGCATCAAATTACACTTAATTGCAATCAGGGGACACATCTGCTGTAGAGCTGAAAACTTTCTGTGGAGTTACCCAGGCTCTTCTTAGTGAAGTTTTGCAGTTCAGTACAGCAACCTCTTTCACCCAAGAGTCACCACTTGTAACACATCTGCTTTCCCCAGGAAGCAAAGGGAGATTTGATTTTCAAGATACTGTGGTTATAAACAAAGTTGTTGTGGCAACTGCTGCGTACTTCTTTACATAGCAGTGAGCAAAAGCAAGTTTTACATATTTGAATGCTTTCCAGCACAGGTTTCAGAAAAATAATCTTAATTCTCTCTTTTTGTAAGCTTAATGTTTCACTGCAGGCTTCAAAACCACAGGTATCTTTCACTGTGTTGATTTTCTAACTTGACAGCTTAATGTGAAATTTGCAATATTAACCACATAGACAATGTAAAGTTAAGCTAGGATTGCTTTGTAGGATAGCATCCACTAGAACTTTATCACTGCTGATTTTAGTCAGTTAATGCCCATTCATCAGGTTTTGTAAGAAAACATACATTAATCATAGGTTTTTCACCACAAATTAGCATCTGATGCACTACAGCTGTGTCAAGGTTGCTGTTACTAAGTTGAGTTGTGCTTGACTAGGAATTTTTTCAGCTATAGCATAAGCCTTTCTATGTGTGTCTCATTTTGCCTGCCTTTTGAGCACATGCAATCTCAGCTGCACAGCACTGTATATTTATAGATTAAATAGTAAAGAAATCAACAAACCACCTTTCCTTGCTCCTGCTCCTCACCGGGTGCTGCTGTATCCAAGGAGGATGGAGCAGTCCCGAATTAAAGCTCACAGGAAGATGCCAGCATCTGCTGCGCCAGTAGTCAGGAGGACCCAAACACAGTTTTGGGCTGGAGCATTAGGAAAAACCCCACTATCACGAGAGGATTCTTTGCGGCAGTGGCACAACCACACCCTCAAGAGCCAAATGCAATTTCAGGTCAGCCTCTAACCACAACTGCTCCAATTTGTTACATGCTGCAGTTCAAGAACTACTCCCAAGCCACTGACCAAAATACACATACAGGTTCTGTTCCTTTCAAGATGCCACAATAACTCTTACTCAGATGCTTGCATGGCAGAGATATATACAGCTTAAGACAGATGAGCACTGCTACAGGAGTCTGCAAAGCAGCCCATTCTTCCCCTTGCAGAGCCTGCTCCCAGCCCCCTTCTTGCGCCACTTCTTGTTTCACTGTACGCCCTGCTCTTACTTTCCAAGACACAGGCTGTACCGACACACATCTAACCTTCAGACATGACAGGAACCAACTAGTCAGTTCAATCAAGTCAAAATGGAAGCGAAGAACACGAGTGGCTCCGTATCGCCTCCAAAACAGGGTGGAAAAGAGCCCCACACCTTTATTAGGAAGTGAAAGTTGCCTATCGGGGGTTAGGCCATACACCTAAGCCCACAACAGACACGACATCGTGCTCTACATTATGTTACTGAGTTTGCATTTGGAATCATCTAGTGGATCAGAAAAATGCTGCCACAGCAGTTCACAAGGTACCACGGTACCCGCTCCGTCCAGTCTCTTCTCTAGAAGCAGCAGCAGTGCCCAGAAATTAGGTTTTGCTGCTGATACTCAGCCTTGTTTACAAAGCCCACATAATCTGAAACTACGTGTAGACAATTTCTCAGGTACAGCTAATACAGCGAATTAATCCCTGTTAGGGCTGCAGTGAGAAGACACAGTAGCAGCTTGTACAAGACCACATTGAGGATGGACACACAGGCAGGCTCATCCCTTGGAAGAGCAATTTTTTCAGACAAACACCTACTCGCATCTGGCACAGAAACAGCTCGTGTGAGAGTAGCAACTCCCACCGCAAGAGTCTGGGTCACGCTGTAGGGCTAAGCTAGAACTACACCCAGTGCTTTAGAAAACCAAGGCAGCAAGGGATCGAACAAGGACCAGCGGTGCTGCCAGGAGTCCCTCAGCCTGAGGGCGTACAGCGCTGCAGCACCCCGCTGGAAGGCAGGGCAGTCAGCCTCCCCAGGGAGCTTGGCACACGTCTGGTCTCGGGATGCCCTCGGTCTTTGCCTAAGGAGTACAAGCAAGGACCTCCTGGAAGCACTTCCCGGGCACTTCTACAAGCTCCAGCTCACATCTGGTGGGCAGTGAATGCTGGGCAGCTGGCACTAGACAGCAATGACAACAGCACAACACAAATTGCTCTGATTTCTGTAATCACACACTTCCTCTCTACCCTCTACCTTTTTCGAAAGCTTCCAGGCTGCTTCCTGCTCATGCACAGCACAGCAGTTTCTGATCTAGCAGCAAAACACCCTGAAGCTGATAAGCTTCATAAAAGTATCACCAAATCTTAGTTTCACATTTCATCTTTCCTCAAATTAGTGACTCCAGTGCATTCATAGATTAATCACTTCTGCATCAATACATCTTGTCTGGACAGGGGCAGAGAATGGCAGCGGCTCACAGCAAAGAAAGTGACAAGTACCCATTTCCACATAACCTTATCCTCTCTAATATCAATGACTCCTTAGTGCAAATGCCCAGCACCAGGTCTCAGCTTTCTCTGGCTTTTAGGTCTCTTAGCTTTCAGGAGACCCAAGAATACTCCTGTGAAAACACTTTTCAAAACTGTATTTTATTTATACCCAACATTACAACAACAACAAAAAAACCCCAAACAACTCCCACACAACATGAAAAGCTACAGCCACTATAACTACCACCGTGATTATTCAAGAGGTATTGCTCCTCTCAAACCCAATCAGAAAGTGTTTGTGCAAAAGCTTCCAGTGCAAGTAAACCTGTAATAAACTTCTGTAAAATCCCAAGAGCTCAAGTCAGAGCCCAGTCCCTTGGATCATTGCGCTGTATTAAGGCAATATATTTTTAGGCTTTTTTTTCCCCCACTCCACTCCCTTTCTCCTGCTGTCCAGTAGGACCTGAAGGATTGCTGGCCTAGGACAGCGGAGTTGCGCTGCAGTGGGCCCAGCAGCACACACTGGCCTTTCTTCCACCCCTTCAAGTAATTTCAAGTGCTCTGTCACTCATTAGTCATCATTAGCTTTCCTACAAGGACTGAATTTGGCTGGTGGTCAGACACCAGCCTCGGCATTGCTGAGCCTCCATAGCAGGTGGCACCTCACTCACATCCCTGTGGCAGCTGTGACTTGCCTGGCTCCAGTCTAGCTGGGAGGAACCGAGCCGAGTCCCCCGTGGCATGTCTCACCAAGCTACCGGGCCCATCCCCACCCCATGACAATCCAACTGCTTCAGTAACCCACCGACAGAAAAAGATTTACTGCAAAAGACCGGCTCAAGTACAGTCTGTTAGTAGAGGACACGTTTCTACCATAACCTGATTTTTAGTCCAAATACCCTGTATTTGTCACCAGTCACAATCCCGCTGCGCTCATCAGTAGCTTCTTTTCCAACCCCTTCTGTAGTTGTGCGTTACTGACACCGCACACCTAATGCTGTCATCCTTTACCAGCGTCCACATGATCCACATGTCCGTTGGGTTTAGTCTGTGCACAATCATCAGCTCTTTGTACAAGCAGGGATCAAAAGGATTGAAAGGTCTCTGGATCCCGAAAGTCTTAAAGCCAGCGTGGTTCTTTGGGGTCACTGCCATCTTTGCCAGACACATTCCCACAAAGACATCATCTATTGGGAAGAGGTCCATGCCCTCTGCGGTGCTCTGGAGGCGGCGCACTGTCTCTCTAGACATCACATAGCCCCCTCCACCCGCATAGAGGGGATAGAAGGGGGCTCTGTACATGGATTCTGGGATAAAGTATTTAACCTTGGTGTTCCTGATGGGCCGGGCGTTGGTGATCACATCCCCAACAAAGAGATCCTGCTCAGCATCCAGGTCCTGGAGGAACTCAACAATGTTGTAAGTGTTGACAAAGACATCATCATCGCCCTTCAGCACAAACCTGGCATGCAGGCAGTCCTCCATGAACCAGCGGAGGAAATGCAGCTCCTTGAGGGTCAAGTTGAAGAAGTTGTCAACAAAATCCCACTGCAAGAGGTCATCAAACTCCTGGCTTTCATAAACCAGCAGCTGGTGCAGGGGCTGTACCCGGATTTTGGCCTCCGAGCGCCCTAGAAGAAATACCAGCCTGATGTGCTTGCCACTGATGGAGACCTCCTTCCCCCAGGTGTTCCTGATCGCCACCCGCCGGTCTAT